CCAAGGGGCTCCTCCCCGTGTGCTCCCACGTCCTCACCAAGGGGTGAGGAAATGGCTCAGCCGGGGACCTCCATCCCTTGTATGGCCCTGGGTTAAATCTGCACGAGCAGCGGGAGGGATCGGAGGGAGGGGAGTTGTTGCTTCAGTGTAGCGGCACAGGCACAGAGCAGTGCGGCAGGACAGAAGTGTAAACCTGGGAAAACACATGTTGACCTTAACACTCACTGACAGCCCTGGGCTCCTTGACTGACGAAGTACCAGAAGGAATTTCCACTCTTTGTACAAAACCAGTAGTGCTGACAACTTCAGGAAAACCGGCAGTGTGTTGTGCGGCAGTGGACAGCACTGCCTTGTTACACAGCACTGCCTTGTTAAGTCATTATTTCTGATCCCTGTTTCCAAACAAATTTTCATGCATGGAACAGTTCAGCTTTGAAGAGACAGGATAAGTATGCAATAAACCACATTTCTTCCCACAGGATTTGGACTTCTCTGGATAAAAAATCAAAACAACCCATCTCCTGGCACGAGCTGGATCAGCCTTGGTGGCAGCTGCTGCTGGTCTTTATGGTGGAGAGCCTTGTGTCCATCCAGGTGGCTCTCTCAGTGCAGGGGCCCTGTGCCTGGGCAGAACAGAAATGATGGAAACATGGATGAGAGAGGTGGCACAGCAAGGCAGTGCTCAGAGGCAAGGAGCTCAGCCTCAGCCAGGGCACAGGGAATTAGGCCAAGATAAGGTGCTGGTGCCAGAAGGCTGGGCTGTCCAGGAATGGTTTCTCCACCAGCTGAGGTGGACATTTGGTAGGCTATTTACTAACCAGCTTGATTTTTAAATTTTAATTAAAATCTAGCTTCCTTTCCCAAAATGTTTCATACCATCATTTCTACTGAGATCCATTTCTGAATTGAGAATGGAGATTAATTAAGAAACCAAAAAACCCACAAAAATACCCAACAGCCACTTTTTGCATATTTTTTCATATTAGCAGAGACAACCCTTGGGTATCCATTTTCTCTCAGGCATGAAGGCAGAAAGCTGCAAAGACCATGTCAGATCCCTTGCCCAACCACTCAGCATCATGAAAACCACATGGGAAAATACCACTGAATGATTTTAGCAGCATTTTGGTACAATCTGGCACATGGAAAGGTAGCTGAAGAGCTAGACCACGACTAGCTAGCTGAACTCAGAACTTGGAGCAGGAACCCTGGTTCTGGTCTGACAACCTGAAGACCTAAGCCAACAGCCAAGCCCCCAAATGCCCTTCTCTTGGATCTGAGCCCATCCTCCTCATGTGCAGACTGCGGAGTCTGTCTTCAGTAGAAATGGGCCAGGGAAAAGGGAGTCATGTTCCAAGCAAATGAAAATGACATGAAATTGTCCAAGTTTTGATTCCACCCAGTTTGGACAGCACAGTTCCAGCCCAGTGAAGCTGGAGCTGAAGAGTAAAAGCCAGAAGTGCAGTTCCTCCCCTCGGTCGTTGCCACATCGCCCACAGCCCAATCAGTTCCTGTGGGCAACCACCTCCCACCCAGGCAAGAAGGCACTGTTCCTTCTCCTCAGCAAGTGGTTTAAGTGATCAAATTCGTGCCCACTAAACAGTTAACAAGTCAGGCTTTTTGGAAAGAGTGAGGCACCACACCTACGAAGTATTTGCACCAACAAAGAACTAATTTGTGGAAATCGGGCAAAAATAGCTGAAGTCAAGAGGAGTTTGAGGGGAAGCTGCCTGAGATTTGCCCAGCCAAGCAAACAGCTGCCAAAAGGGGAGCACTGCCATCCCCTTCTTTCCCCCCTACCCCACTCAGGGTCTCAGAGCCCCACCAGCTCTGCTGCCTGCCCAGTCCTTGTGTGAAGTGTCTCATCCTCATAGGGGAAAAAACCAACAATGAGCCTTTTTTTCTGAATTTATCCTCTGATTCCTTTAGGTGGGACACACTTGGTTGCTACTAGAATTAATTTCATAGATAAGTACCTATGCACGGAGATGAAAGATGCGTACATGAAAGCAAAATTCACTGACAAGCTGTATGTGCTGTGAGGCTATACTTAAAAGCAGAGAGGTTCTTCAGATGGTATCTCACCTTAGAAAGGGCAGATTTCAAGCTGTACACCACACTGCTAATGAGGATACAGGAAATCTCATCCATTTTTTCCACTTGATGCAAAACATCTCTTCCCACAAAGGGAAGTGTTGATGTTTCCCAGTGTGATTTAGGCTGAAAGAGGAAACTGACAGGCAGAAAGTCACAGTGAAATAGAAAAACTGGCTCCAACACAAACAAGCCTAAGCTTGACAAAATAGGCTGTAGTTTTAACAAGCAGGTTAGGAGAAGACCAAGGTGGAGGCCCTTAAAGAAATTTACTGCCTTTTGAGGCCAAAAATTTGAAAGCAACATTTCTCAAGCAGTTCAGATAGGAAATCCTACATAAAAGGGGGGAAAAAAGAAACTTCCCAGTTCTCATCCATGTTTTATAAAGCTAAAGAAAAAAAAAATATTGTAAAAGTGATAAGCCTAAAGAATTTATTGTTTCATGTATGGTTTTGACAGGTTGCCAAGAGAATGGTGCTGCTCGACGGAGAGTAGAAGAAATGACATTTTCTTTGCTTTAGATTGTTATAAAATTTTCAGTTTTTTACAAGCCCCCAGATGGTTTTTATAACCCCTTCAGGGGTTGCAACATATTGACTGAGAAATACCGATTTATATAGCAAACTCCACTCTCTTCTTGCTGGCAAAAATTACTGCTTTGTATCTGTGTATACACACAGTGGCTGAATATAAATAAAAACCCAAAAATAATGAGATCTGAGGCAAAATCCACCACCTGGCAGTACATTAAGTCGGATGAAATTTCCCTAAATTTACACTGGTGTAAATAAGAGGAATATTTGGCCTTAAATCATTTAGGTGAATTTGGGATTGACGATTAAAAAGTTTGTTCTCTGTTTCACCCTGCAAACAAGCAGGCTGCCTTCATTGGTGTCAGAAGTAAGGAAACATTTCCACCAACAATTCTTTGGAAGTGGAGGATTTTTTATTGGCTTTCATTGTGTTCATCTGCAGTGTTTTAACTGGGAAGTATTGGTGCCTTGGGACACAGCAGGCTTACGGCACAATCACCATAGCAGGTGACAGCACCTCAGGAGGAGCAACTCTAAAATGCTTTCCCTGTAATGAGCAAATAATTACTGAAGTAAACAGTGTGTTCAGTTTTGGAGTTTTATAGACCCCTATAATCATCTGTATTTTGTACATTCACGAGCGTAAAAGAGAATTCTTCTGAATGGTGACTTCACAAAGAATCTAAATCCACAGTGGACCATGAAGAGCTCATATTCCTTGGGGGACTGAGCCTGAGCTTCTGCTCTTGCCCACACTCCTGCACAATCAGGCTGGTGGTTTGGCTCACTGGGTGACTCTGGTCACTGCTGAGACTGCCTAGGTAAAAAACACCACAGGACCTGGCGCTGTGCTCAGCTCACAGCTAGGGAGGAGGCAGCATCCCACTCTTGCTGTGCCTCAGGGTTAGGTGGTCACTGAGAGCACAGGGAGTGTGATTTTAATTCCAATGAAGGCAGGAGGAGAGTTGCTGGTATTCCCAGGAGAAGTCTATGTCTGCCCTCTCTGAGGCTTTTCTGGATAAAGAGAGATTTTGGTGCCTTCCTACTTTGCATTAAAGAATTGAAAATGCATTTAAGCAGGCAGAAAGAAAGGAAGACCACGGCATTGTAGCTTCATATTTAAATCATCCTTTGGGAGGGTGGAGACTGCAGTTCTGCCCCTGGCTTGCCAAGCAGAATAGTTTTGTATTTTACATTAGTCAGCCAGTGGATAAAATACATGAAGAACCCTTAGGCTGGTCAGAAAGTTTAACTGATATCCTCATACTCAGCATCTCCTCTGCTCCTTTGCATTGCAATACCTCACTCTTCTTGGAGCTGAGCCTTAACCTGTGCCCTGTAGCTCTGCACGGGGAAAAGCAGAACTGCTGCACTAAAATTTCTGGCAGCTTTCATTATGCAGATTTTGAAACCTTTAGATCACAAACTTTCTCTGTCAAGGCACGCACACAGCTCCCAGCTCCTTCAGCCCCCGTCTCAGGCTGATATTAAAGCAGCAGCGAGCTGCTTCCAGATTACCTTGGATTTGTGTGGATTTAGGGCTAAGCCCCATCAGCGAGGCTGCTGCTTAAACTTTAGTGCACTGTGTTTAGGTTGTAGGACCCAAGTGAGCAGAGCTGGCCAGGTTGTAGTGTTGGTTCGACTCTTCCTGCGCACTTGGACAGCTGTTAAAAGAGCAGGCAGCAGAACAGCTCCAGACCTGAAAGGAGGCAGCAAAGCAGACTTGGCACAGGGAAAAAAGCACAGGCAAGTCAGCTGGCTCAGGGGAGGCAAGTCAGGGGAATGAGCCCAAGGCACAAACAAAGCCAATGGCAGCCTCAGGCTGGCCCTGGTCCTGTGGGGCAGAGCCCAGCCTCGGCCAAGGCAGGGCTGCTTCCCAAGGCAGGGACAGACAGACGGCCAGGGGGATGATGTGAATGAATGGCACCGGGATTTGGCTGAAATTTGCCTTTTCCTACAGGCTAGAAATGGTGCCATTTGCCATTGTAAGTACCCTATTCAAAAGCTCAGTCTCTATGGCACTCAGCTGAAGGACTAAAGAGCTCATCTGCAACTGCTCAGTGCTAGGAAGAGCCAGCGCTGCTGCGTCAAGCCAAAATTAACTTCCCCGTGTGGGCAGGATGTAGCGCTTAAACTCCTTTGACATGTATTTCCTAGAGACAAATGGCAATTCCCTCTGTGGCCCATCATTTACTATCTACATAAAAGCAGAAGGAGATGATTAGAGTGGGGAACTGCCCTGCTTTTGCTATATTTAGTGCCCTGTCAGCTCAGCCTATAACATTCTGCTCTTCAGTTGTAAATAATACCCTAAGGAAGGGAATAAAATGAATATCAAACATGGAGAAGCTGGTATAGAAAAGCAGACAAAAGACTGTAGGTCCAGAGCACACAGGAATAAACCTTCTGCTTGGGTTTAAAAGCTGAAGGAGGCATTAATGGAGCTCATCCCACCTCCTGCCCCACAGCTGAGAGCAGGGGAGGGTTGCAGTCTTTGGGGCCCTCCAGCAGAAAGCTGCATAAATCAGTGAGTCTGGCTGGCTCCTTCTGCCTGGCACCTGGCAATGTGGTCTGACGTGAAGGCTTCCAGCACTGTACCTAAAGGAATTCTCACATTTATATTTCAAAGAGTTCTGGGAGGCTGCACATATTTCTATTACGTGTATGTATTTAAATCTATTCAAATTTGTTCCTCTTAAGAGTGAATTCCTCATCATAAATCATCATCAAGACTTATTAGCTTAAACTCTACACAGCACACACTTGTAAGGAAAAATAAAAACTATATATTTGCCTTAAATAGTCCTGTGGTATTATTTAATACCAGCTGGACATCTTACAGCAATAAATAGATTTTCTAGCAACAGCCTCCTGAGGTAAAGTGGAATATTCCCATTTTACAGCACAGTAATGGAGGTGGTCAGTCCATGGCTGTTGTGGACATCTGTAGAAATGACCCCAGATCTCCAGTACTTCAAAATATTTGCTAGCCCACCTAGGACCAGCTTCTTCTAAAACCAGATGGAAAGGCAATGCAGAAAGGAAAAGAACAAAGAAGAAGGTTTTGGTTTGGTTTGTTGCCAATGAAGAATAAAGGAAGAAAGCCGTTAACAAAGCATTTTCCCATGTGAATCAAATTAGGGCAGCCCATAATGGCTGAAGACAATTGTGCTTTTATTCTTTTTCAGTGATATTTTCAAATTTGGGAAAGTTTTTGTTGTTCTTTTGCCATTCAACATAAGGAAGTTGACTTTGGTTCCACCACCAGAATGATTCACTGCACTGAAGAAATTCAGAACATCCCCAGTAGAGGAAGTTCATTGCTAAATTTTAAATTTTGACCACATCAATACAGATCTTCTGTGCCAGGAAACAATCTGTCTACAGTCTAGAGGAAATGCTCTCTAACAAATGAAAAATGAATCCTGTATTGTAAACCCCACTTAAGTTCACTGGGTTGTTGGTTTTGGTTTTTTTTTTTCATGAGTACGAAATGAGTAAAAACAAACAAACATCCTTTTGGAAATGCACCAAAAAGATTAGTCAGGCTTTTAGCCATAGCCTACTTGGAGATCCATGGTCTCAGTGAGTTTTTGGTCATGCTCTTCAGGAAATACACAACACATAGTTTATTCAAGCTAACTTAGTGCAAACAGCTCCAGGCATTTTGGTTACAAGCTGTAGGTTTCTCTATTACTGACTCATTCTTCTGGATACCTGATGCTGGCTCTGCGTTCTACCTGAGACTGGTTTTTGTAGATTTTAGTTTCTTCCGTTTTTCAAAATCAAAAAGAAGAAAAGAAATGATAAGAAATATAAAGCAAAAAAAAAAAAAAAAATCACACACACAAGAATTTCAATCTTGAAGTTTCTCTTCACTGTTTTATGGCTTCTTTTGTCTAAAAACTCCCAAAATTCAATTCTTAAAATAAATATTTATGAAACAAGCATTTGTAAAATGTGCTTGCCTGCCAACTCCAGTGAATACTTACTGATTAACCATTTTTCCAAGACTACCTGGGTGTTTTCATGCTCTCAGTTCATAATACACTTCAATGCATTGCCTTCTCTGGGAGTTCACACTCTGAAGCAGCAGCACATGAAGGCACTTTGCATTTGATTGAACAGAGTTTGGATCTGCTCTGCTCCATATGCTGAACATGTCTGCATAATCTATCTGCAGGAGGGAACCAAAAAGCCTGGAAGAAAGGACATTTGATATGATAAATAATGGGAAGTTGTAGAGGTGAGGCATTTAGACTACTTCCTGCATTTTATTGATAGGGAAACAATAAAAAGCTAATATTGTCTCCAGAGATTTACAGATTAGGCATTCAGGTTTTTGGTTTGGGGTGGCTTTGTTGTGTTTTATCCACCCATTCAAGTTGGTTTTGGGGCTAACAAGTACATTGTATCCTCGGAGGATTAGTTCTGATATTCAGGCCAAGAATATGAAATCAATTTCGATTCCTGTTCTCTTTCAGAGGCCTGTAGAGACAAACAAGGCTCAGGGGTTTGATTCCAACCTGCTTGGATGCAACAGCCTGCTGGGGACAGCAAGGCATGGGCCTGCTCAGCCAGCAGTGAGCACCTGAAGGACAGAGCCCAGAGAGATGCCATGGCTGTGATTCCCCATGGCTTGAGCCGCCCTCTGAGGTAATTAGCAGCTGCAGCCTGTAATCAGTGGCCCCTGGGGCAGGAAAGCAGCCCAGCAGCACCAGGTCACCCTGCAAACACCCCTGCTCCCACCTGAGCCAGCCTGGCTGCACTTGAGCACCAGGGCTTGCCCCAGGCATGGCACTTCCACTCTCTGTTGGCACAATGTTCCCCATCACAGGGCTGCCAGAGCTGGCACCCAGCCAAACCTCAGCATCTCACCCTGGCCTGCCTCGTCCCTAAACAAAGGCAGCTTCTGAGTTTGCAGCTGAGGTGGCACACAGGAAATCTTGCTTTGGTAGCGTTTAAAATAACGTGTAAGATGGCAGAATAGGCTGACATCTTACACATTATTTAGCCAGACACTTACACAAGTGTCTGGCTAAAAAAGGTTTCTTGCCTTTCCACTAATAAACATACTTCAAGGCTTGCTTTGAAAACACTGTTATGTCTTAGCAAGATATTTCTGGTCTCTTTATTTTCCTGCCTGCACTTGAACTCTAATCATGCTAATGATCTTCATCTTCTGTGCCTTCTGACAGGTTTTTTTGTGACCTCTCTAGGGCTTGGCAATTAAAAACCCAACTCTGGGTAAGGTGAGGTTTTTTATGTTTAGATAGATAGATAGATAGATAGATAGACTGATAGATAGATATAAAAGTTTCATATGTATAAAGCACCTACCATCATATTGACAAACATTCTTTTTCTATTTTCACCTATTTATTTCTCCACTCACCACCTCTGGTGTGTTTGATGCCTCAGTGTTTTGGGTTTGCCCACTCCCTTCTGCATTCCAGCATGAGCTTCTCCCAGGAATCCTCTCTGCTTGGGAGGAGAGGTTCTTGCCTCTGGTTCAGTCCAGACATCCCATTGAGTCAGTTTGTGCTACAACAATAATAAAGACAGGATTAACTGGTTCACAGCTTAAAGAATTAATTTAAGACTTGGTGGGAAAGGCCCTTTCCCATGTCCCCTTCTTAGAGATGGAGTTCAAGCTAACAAGTTCTTAAGTTTCTGAAGTTTGTGATGTTTCATTTTCTGAAGGCAGAAGTAGACTGAATGGTTCACCATTCAAAACTCATTCTTTCAGAAGAGGGTGGAGTTTGTTTTAGTAATGCCACACTAATTTGTGAATTAATGTCTCCATTTTCTGAGGTACAAGGACAGTCTGCTTCAGAGGAGTGGTATGTATGTAACAAAAAAAAAAAAGATGAGGTCAAATATAATTCTTTAAGTTTAGTTTCTACTGTGTTTTAAGACTATAAGACCAACTACCCACTATCAGTCAGTCTGTAAGAAAGGTTTAATATATTATAATACATGGTCAATATATAAAAACATATGACATCAATATTGTTTAGGGATTGGTTTGTTTGGTTTTGTGTAATTAAAAGGTAAAACCAAGCAGCACTATGGGAGACAGATACTCTTAAAAAACAGAGAAACAGTAAGGTTCAGAAAATTTGTTTACAACTACCAATAACAGAATGAGCACCTTTAATCACAAAAGATATTTCTTCAGTACAAACAGCTGGACTGAAGCTTAAATGCATTACATCTGCTCAGGTCAGTGCTCACAGGGAATGATCCCACAAGGGAAAAACAAAGGAAGCAGGGAACACACAGGATGCTGCAGTGTTCCCAGGCTCAGCACTGCCATTCCCATGGTGTGTGGGTGTTGTGGACAGATGCAGCCCATGCTCTTGCCCTGTGGTTATCCTCCACAGCTTCCCACCCACCTCATTTATTTCTGTCCCTTTGGGTGGCAGTGCCAGCTCAAACTCTGTCCAGATGGCCGAGGCCAGCCCCTGCCACACAGAGATTGTCTCTGCTGTCCCTTCCCTGTTGCACCAGCACAGACTCCTTCTCTTTCTGAGGCTGCAGCAGATGCTCCCATCATGGATCCTAGCACCACCAGGAAAGGAGGGAGGGTGCTCAGCCTGTCCCAGGCTGGTCACCTTTCACCATGCCAGAAGCTGGGAGGCTGGGCAGTTGCCCCAGCCAGTGGTTTCCCCAGCAATTAGGCATTAATTAGGCACACTGAAGTCATGGAGTGAGGCTAGACAGCTCTGGAGGGGCACATTTCCCTCCCAAGTCTGAACCTCTGGCTGGGGCCCAGGCACCAGGAGTATCCCTCCCTGAACAGAGGATGGTACCACAGCGATCCCTCTTGCTGTGGCTCCACAGAGAGTGACTGCCACTTCCACAGCTATATAACAGTTCTGGGGGTGTGCTCCAGTCTCCAGGCTGTGTGTGCTGTCTGCACTCTGAAACCACATGTAAGCTGGTGGGCTCATGGACCAGTCTCAGAAAACCTCAGCTCTGCACCAAAGTCTCTCTCAGGGTTCTCCCTGGGTCAGCACCTTTTCACCCCAAACACACACAGCCCAGCAGACCAGAGATTAAAGCTACCCCTTAACCAAGACAGGACACAGTGAACCAGAGGCTGTCCCACATCCCCTCCTTCTAAAAGAAAAACATGACTTTTTCTATTTTTGTTGTGCTGGATTGATAGTTCTGCCTTCCCCACTGTGTTCCAGTGTCATAAGAGGGGACATAAATCAAGGTCCAAACTCTCAAGCCTTCTCTGTGCCCATCACTGCATGGACTACCCTGGCCACACAAGAATCCTTTTTATTTTTTTTTTTTAACTGAGATGATCTATATTTTATTTGCAGCTTTTGTTTTGCTCTAGTCCTGGCTTGCCTCCATGCACTTTTTTCAGCTAGGATTTTGCTGCTTTGTTTTCCAGTTGCACCATTTGGGATTTGCCCAGTGGATAAGCTGTGCAGTCAGAAAGCCCCCACACAGGCAGCAGCATCCTTGGCTCAGCCTTGCTCTTGCCCCATCAGGCTTGACAACCCTTCAGGAGTGATTGATGTGCAGCCCCAGTGCCCTCCCTTGGGATGGCAGCACTCAGGAAAGCTGTCAGAGCTCAAGGAGAGAGGATCACCCCAGGAATGATGGCTCATTTCAGCTTGTCTCCAGAGCCACTTACCCAAGGATCATAAATACATGAAGTGGGATTTCTACCTTCATGACTTCCTGGATAATTGACAGTGAGAGCTGCATTTCTGCAGTGGAACGTGGATGTGCCTCCCCAGGTAACAATGCCATGAAGCAGCCAATATCTGTAGTAAACCCCTCAGGTTTAGCCAGGGCCCCTTGGAGAATAGAATGCTGACACAGCGGCAAAGAAGTTTCCTGTCTCCAGGGACATCCGCCTTGTACCTTATCCCTATAGCCATGTAAGGCAATATTGTGTTAAACCCTACCATTGGTCACTTATGGTCACTCTAACACCTTTGCCATTGGTCAGGATTAGATCCAGGCCAAGGGTATAAAAGTAGCATACTGTACCCCTACTAACTCGGAAGAAGAAGAGCTGAGACCCTTCACGGACCCTACAATAAAGCCATACTCGTAGAACAGCCAGCGTCTTCTGCTTCTCCTCTCTCTACCGTCTGCTGAAGCCTTAGGCCAAGAGAAAAGCTACCTAGCAAGCAAAGCTGAAATCACAAGAGCTGCCTAATCACCAAGAGCTGAATATCTCCCTGCTTGCTAGGGGCTGACCCGCGGCCTTGGTCTGAGAGCGAGCTGGCTTCTAGCACCCAGTCCCCTTGGGGACTGAGCTCTGGAGCTGTAACAGCTTGCATAAGATAAGACCAAGCAAGGCTCATTTAAATATCTGCAGCTCATTAGGTGCAGCCTGTGGTTCAGAGGTCAGGGAGGGCCATGTAAAACATCTGCCCAGGTCAAATAACTGCAGATAAGCCCCCTCACAGGGTTCTTCTAACTGTGCCTGGAGGGGCAGGAGGCACATGGTGTGTGAAGCAACAGGAGTCAGACACCTTATGTTGCCCTGGCCTTATGTTATCATTCTCAAGTCCTGTGGCATCAGAGGAACCTATTTTTGGCAATCATATCATCAGGAAGGTCCAGGAAGGTAATCCAGATGGTAATGAGCTGCATAAAGCAAATTCAGCTTTTCTGAGGAATTTCCCACTTGTTTCATACACCAGACCAAAGGTAGTGTTCCTACCTGGTGCCCTTATGCCTGCCCCTTGTGAGTGCTATTTGTTCAGGCTGAACAATCATTTATTTTAAACAAATGGCACATATCAAAGCAAGGGTTTAGTAACCTATAGGAGAAAGGCTGGGTATTAGGCCTAAAGTAGATTTGAGAGAGCTTAGAGCACCATCATGTCTCATCCATCCAATTCTTCCAAGAGCACTTCAGATTCCCTGTGCTTCTAGAGAAACCATTTCTCACTATCTCACTGTCTGGACAGCCCTGGCCCCAGAGGTGCTCTGGACTTTGCTTTCTTAGGGTGGCTATTTCTGTCACAGAGGAGTTCCTGGCAGCTTGCCATGGTTTCTCTCAATAAATCTTCACATATCCAATTTTTATAAGCTTTTCTCCATGTTAAGTGTTGAGCAATCTAATATTACATCATTTGTACTGAGTGTTCACTGTCATCAAGAACAGAGAACTGCCTACTGGATATTATTACTTTCAGAGACAAAACAAAGACATTTTTATTAAGCCGGTTTCAGTCAAATACAGCAAGTCTGACCCCAGCTTTTCACACCTGTGTAGAACCAGTGTGAGACAGCCACCAAACACCACAGATCTCCCTCACCTTTCAGGAGTGGTCTGTTCACACTTGCTGAGCAACACAGGACAACTGAATTCCAGTTCAGCAGCATTTAGAGTCCAGTCTGCATAGAAATAAATAATTACCCAACATCAAAGACAGAGAGTCAGAGTATCCATACACTGTATTCAAGATGCACAGAACCTTGCTGGTCTCTTTTTGTGATCACTAGGATTGTCTTGTTCTAAGACACTGATATTAAACAGATTCAAGGTACATCACCTGTCTGGTAATGACCCCCATACCTTCAAGACTCGATTTTCGAGTTTCCTGTTGGCACGCACCACATCTCTGGCACTGGCACGGCAGCTGTGTGCCCAGAAGTGACACCTGTGCCCACACGTGGCCAGCTACTTACCTGATGCACTTGGACTGTGCTCCCAGTGGGTCCCTCAGAGCAGCTGACTCCCACTTTAATTAAGTTTCTATCAAACCAGTGCAGTACTAGAGCAGCAGAAGCTAAAAGCCATTTCCAAACAATGAAGACAAAACTGAGCTTACAGCTCACTCCAGCAGTGCCAGCAGCTCCTTTGATCCTGCATCCATCTTTCCTAAACACTCTGCATTCAACATTTCCCACCTCACACCTAGGGCTAAAACACTTCTCTTGTACAGCCCTCTTGCCAAGCATCCCTTATATTTTATTACCAATTCCTGTTGCTTGGATTGCTATTCCCTTGGCATGACTGGCTGCCTCCCAGCTGCCTCTGACACCAACAGGGGTGAAGTGGGGGAAACAAAAGCAGCAGATGCTCTTCCTTCAGTCCCCACCACACTCACTGCTCCATTCCCAGACCTCAGTCCTCCCTCCATCCTTTCTGGATCTAGAGAGTGGGAGAATTCCCACTATTAGCAAGTGGGAATTTTCTTCTTAATTCTTTATAACAATTTCCATTGGAATGTTTTAAAAAATCAAAACTAAAGAAAAACTCAAACAAAAAACCCAACACCAACCAAAAAATTTCACAAACCAAACCAAATCAGTCAAATTCCATTGTCCTCAACAAATCTCTTCATCCTCAAGCTCTTCACATTTTGCCTTTTGGTGCCCATTTAACAGAGACTCCCTTAACACTGGCAATTATCATGGGTTTTGCCATGTCTGACTGGAAATCTCTAAGCAGTCATTTGAATATCAGGCACTTTAAGACACATCATGACACCACCATCTCTATTCACACTTCTCCAGTATGCCCTTGATAAATCATCTACTATATTTTCAACTCCTTTTCTGGATTGGCATTCAAACCTTCACTTGGTATTTCTGGAGTGTTAACAGCTGTCTCCCTATTCCTGGTGGATGCTTAGTGAAGGTTCTTGAAAATAATCTCCAACACCCAGTAGGGCTGCTCAAGTTTTCCCCAGATGCACTGTGGGCACCGTGAGGGGCCCTGCTGCTGCAGCCACCCCTTGTGACACTCATATCTGGGTTTGCTGAACACTGCCTGAGATTAGAGATGCGCTTATAAGAGACAATGCAGAGGTGGGATGGGAGATAAGTTGCAACATAAAAAGAGCAGATGGGGAACTGAGGCACGCTTGGCTTGCACCCAAATATGCAGAGCATGCTCTATATAAAATATGAGAGAACAAGGAGGTGGCACTGAAAACCCTTAAATCTGTCAAAGGAGAAAAGAACAGCAATTCTGGAGTAATAACAATGACCCATTTCACAACTCAGGAAAAACCCCAAACTTTCAATGGCCAAAGATTTAGCTACTTTGGGGACTTGGGTTCAGTGCCTGACCTGCGAACAAGTTCTCAGTGCAACCTTTAGGAAATCACTTCATTTGCTTTCATCTACCTCCCTGTCTGTAAAATGGGAATAGTGACATTTCTCTCCTGTGGTGCCAGACAGCAAGAATTTGGAGCATGGAGATGCTCAGATGTCACAGAGTCTACTACTGCTCCTAAAAAGTTGAATATTCCTCATATTTATGAGTGGTTTTTGATATGCATGCAACAGAGGGTAGCTAGCAAAATGAAACAATTAGTTCTGTGACATTTTCAGCTGCCTAATGAGTTTCTCTTCTGCTTGTCACAAAAGTATTTCAGAATTGGAGCTTGTGTTACCAGTTTTCAATATTTTATGCTTTTTCAGCCTGAAATTCAACAGCTGTTTCAATATTGCAGTTGGAGCCAATATATTCCATATAGATTTTCTTCAGTATGTGCCAGTTTTTAAAACCTTTGCCATGCCTCTTTGCTTTTTGTACCTTAATCATGGCCACCTCTTCATTAGAAATCTGGCAGTGGAGTTTTTCTCCTACAAATGTGTGAACTGAGTTTGTTTGAATGTCAGTCAGAATAATTTCTCAGGAAACTCAGGTTTCTGTCCCAGCACTTTCCCCCACTCTACCAATCTGCACATCATGTGCTTGTTAGTCAGTTTTCCACAAAAATACCACAAAAGTCATGCACAATAGTGCTCTTTCCAGCCTTTCTACTTCTCCTTCTAGGTTCAAGAAGGTATTGTATTTATCACACATGTTATTGGAGGGATTATTTTTTTTTTGGTCCAGACCTTGTTTCTTGGAGCTGGTCCAGAAAAAAATTTCCAGATGACAGCTGTATATGCTATTGTTAGTATTATTCTCTCAAAAGTACTGCACTGCATTGAGGATAAGCCTCCTTTTTACTCCTCCTGGCATATTAAAAATCCATCTGGTGGGATCTATACTCTGAAACTGGCCTTTCTCTCCTGTCCTGAACTCATCTCCCACTTATGTTCCCTGTCCTGACTTCACCAGCCCTAATGACAAGGGACATAAGAGTCTTGCTTCCTGCTATTGGAAAGAATTACAATGCCTATATTGATTTTAAAATTAAACTGACACTATCTTTGTCACCTGTACATAGATAAATATTCTTTCGAGCTTTTCATTCCTGCTGTGTTGCACATCCCACAAGAAGGAGCTTCTTTCTTTGTTGGAAGGACTCCCTGCAGCAGATCCATCACTGTCTAGGGCTGGAACACACCTGCAGATTATTATCTCTGAAAAGCTTTCAGCCATATACTTTGGGCCACTTGAAACAGATTTTTTTTTTTTTTTTTTTGTAATACAGTATTTAGGACAAAGGAAAATACACCTTTGTATTTGATAGTACTTGAAAGTACAATGAGAAAAATGGAAAAAAGTGCCTCTTGTGTGAGGCTTCCTTCACTGCTGGATGCCCTTTTCCCTTGGTTCCTCCTTTGTGCTCCTGGGGACCCAGCTCTCCCTGCTGAGCCTGGGGGGCACAGCAAAGCACAGACAGCCATGGGCACCCACAGCTTGCCAGGGCTCAGCCAGGCACAGCAATGGGTTAACAAATTGTGAGGGATTTCTCTGTGAGCCATGGAAAGGGCTCAGAAAGCGGAAACCAGGCTGAATTTAAACTGAGGACCTCATTCTTCCGCCAAGCCAGTCGGCTTCTTAATCAACTGGGGCCTTGTTTCACAGTCAGCCATCAGAGGCTTTAGAAAGTCCTTCTGACAAATCTGTAAGGGGAGATCCACAAAGGATGTCTTTTCTGTGCCACTCTCCACCTAGAATATGCAATGCTGGGGACAGGGCTGCCCTCAGTGGTGCTTCTGTACGTGGAGCACAATGCACAATGATGCTATAGGATACTTCCACTGCTCAGCTCCTGCTTATTTAAATATGTATTTCATTAAGGAAAGCACCCTAGGAAATCAAGCAATGAGCTTTCCCAATGGTACTTCTCCTCCTTCCATGGAGAAAATCGTTCTCAGGTTTCGGAAGTGCTGCAGTCTGCTCCAAGTCAGACCTTTCTTTCTCTCATTAGCCGTGCAGTCCTGTCACTTACTAGATTTCTGGCTCCTAAGGAAACAATTCCTCTTTATTTTTCTTCTCAGTCTAGTAATACTTTAAATTATTTCTGAGAACTACACTTCCATTACTCATTATTATTGAGTCAGGAGAAAAAAAATACATAATAGTAGAAATCTAATTATTCTGGGAAACTTTGAAATTCCCTTCTCTCGTGGTATTCTTTGATGTGCCTGTTAAATAAATAATGATTTTTACATCTAAGGTTTATCTCACAGTGCAAATACACCATTATCCTCAGCATAAAAACACTTTTCATTGTTAGCCACTGTAAACATGGGCTGAAGCTGTGATTCAGGAGTGCTTGAAGCTGACCTGCCCAGGTATGGGGCAGTGTAATTTTTTCACATTAACAACTTGTGAAGGAGAAATGGGCCATGGAGACAGAGGTACTGCAACAGGGGGAGGGAAAGAAGAGGACAGATCAAAACAGAAATGTCATGCAGGCAAAAGGAAACTAGCAGGTACTCTAAAGACAGAAACATATCTGATTAGAAACAGAATATGTGTCTTTTCATAAGATTTTTCAATCACAGCCTCAGGCACTTTGTATGACAGCAGGAAATAGGATGACATTTCTGGAATAGTACATAATTAAAAATGATAAAAAAAAAGATCAGAGTTTACCAGAGAAGGAACTCACTAAAGACTTCAGCAATGGTACAGGCAGGACATTACTATATAAAGTCACCTGAAGTAATGTATTTTTATGTATTTACTTGGTGTGATAATGGATTTTACTGTTAAGTGTGCACTCTGGAGTCCAGCACTGCTCAGTACCTGTTCAGCTCTCTCCAGGTCTGCCAGGACCTGTGCTCTGTGCCAGTGGTTGTTCTCCTCCCTGTCCCCCTGGGAATTGCCTCCTGTGCAGCCTGGGATGGAGCTGTGCTGCTGTGGGCAGGGACAGGGCACATCCTGAGCTGCATGGAGGAGCACTTGGAGACCCACAGGCTTTCGTGGGGAGGTGTTATGTGGGCACTGAGAGAGCCCCAAACCTCTCTTCACCACAAGCAGCCTGGTTTGGGGAAGCCCCTCTGATGCCATACACAGTCCCCTGTCCCCTTGGCTGGGTGCCTGGTGCTGGGCTGGCAGGCAGGGCACTGGTGGGAATGCCCAGCTGCCTGAGGGGGCATTTCCCAGCCTCAGGTGTGTGTGCCAGCCATCTCCTGCCTGAGGTGGGCATTTTCCAGCCTCAGGTGTGTGTGCCAG